ACCATCTGAGACTGCTACTTTCCATATTCCATTTCTCTTATTTTGCTGACCAGGCTCGTTGTAACATTTAGTTACACCTAAGCTAGTTTTAATGGGAAGTCTGCTGCTTGCCTGAAGCCCAGATCCGAGATGTCACAGAGGGGTTACTGAGGCTCATCTGGCCCTCTACTATTCCATGCTGCTCACCTATGTGGGCACCAATGATACTGCCAGGGGAGACATTGAGTGACTATCAAAAGTGACTACAGGGCTCTGGGTACAAGGGTGAGGGGGTGAGAGCTCAGGTTGTATTCTTGTTGATTCTTCTGGTCAAGGGAAAAGGCCTGGGCAGGAACAGGTGCATCCTGCAGATCAACACCTGGCTGCACAGGTGGTGTCCCCAGCAGGGCTTTGGCTTCTTCCACCATGGGATATTCTTCCAAGAAGAAGGATTGCTGGAAAGAGAAGAGATCCACCTGACGAAGAGAGGGAAGAGCATCTTCGCAGACAGGCTCGCTAACCTAGGGGGGGGGGCTTTAAATTAGGATTGCCAGGGGATGGAGACCAAAGCCCTAAGGTAAGTGTGGAAGCTGGAGACCTGGAGGAAGCAGAAGCAGGAGGGGGCAACAGGGGTGGTACTCTCATGGTTCCTGAGAAAGGGCAACCAACTAGTTGCCACAGGTGCCTGTACACGAATGCACAGAGCCTGGGAAACAAGCAGGAAGAATTGGAAGTCCTTGCACAGTCCATGAACTATGATGTGACTGAAATAACAGAGACTTGGTGGGAGCTCGCAGGACTGGAGCACTGTCATGGATGGGTACAAACTTCAGGAAGGATAGGCAGAGGAGAAGAGGAAAAGGAGTTGCCTGTTGAGAGTCTCTGGGTTAGGGTCAGAGGGGAGAGCAACAAGGGTGACGTGATGGGGGTCTGCTATAATATTTAATTCTCGTCAAATTTGTGAACAGAACAAGGCCCATGACACATTTTTAACTAAATAAAAGCTTTCTTCAACTAGGCTTCAGACCTTTTCATCTAATATATAGTAAATTTGCCATGAGTGGTTTTTGCTGCAGATGAACACTTGAACAAGTTATTCAAGTGTTGCAACTGCACTTGTGACTTACAATTATACTTTTTATCAGCTGTTACACTGATTAATCAGTTAAGACCTTGAGTTGCATTTTGTCAGGTGGCTCCCCTTTTAGCCACATCATTTCAGGATATTGTATTTCTAGCCCTGTCATTTCCTGTTTTACCTCTCATGTAATATCTTTATCCCTGTGGAATTGAGGTTCCAGTATGCACACACAATTTAGGGTAACATTTTAGCTCTCAAGAGTTCATGGTAGTTTGCAGGGAAAATACTACCATGGGTTGTTCAGGAAGTAGATGTAGCTTTTTTCTCTGGGTTTATCTTTCCCCCCTGTTTTTCATATATTGTAACCTGCTTAGGGGGTTCCTCCTGTGTTTGTAGTTAGAGGTGTTTTAGTGATAGGTGTCAAGATTGGTATGACAATTAACATTTTCTTATCTGAGCAATATACCAACACCATTTATACAATCTTTGAGACCCTTTGTTTGTGATTGCTAAAAGTTCACTAAACAGATGTTTTTCCTTGTTGCTTTGCTGGGGAGCTTGCTTTGTACGTGTGACTTACATTCAGGTTAATCCAAGTGCATGACAAATTTAGAGGTATGACTTAGGCTTTCACAGTATGTCCTTTTTTTTTTCAGGTCTTATGTTTTGCACTTTAAGGTTAATTCAGTCCTGGCCATGCGTATCTGATGACCATGTGCCACTACAGTAAGATACTTTTGGCTTTCTGTCCAGGTGTTTTGAGTAACTTGTTGTTCAGCCAGTAGGTGTCAGCAAATTCATTCTGCTTGCAGCCAAGATCTCCTTGCATCACTGAGATCACGAGCCCTTGTGTTCATTAATACTTCATTAAGTGCAAAACAGTAACAATTGCTTGTCTCTTTTTCTGCAATAAATTAGATTAGGTAGATGGATGGATAGATAGCAAGCAAACAAGAAAAAAAATATAATTAATTTTTAGTCTACATCAGTGAAAGTAGGACACTGTAAAAATACAAAACAAAACAGGTAAGAGACAGTACACAGATTAAACTTTGCATATTTTGCCAAGGCTGCAACTGAATTCCAATTGGCTACAAGTATCAAGGACAATAAAAAGTCCTTTTTTAGATATGTGGGGAGCCAGAGGAAAAGCAAGGGCAACGTTGGACCCCTGCTAAACCAGATGGGACAACTGACAACCAATGCCCATGAAAAAGCCAACTTGCTAAATGGGTACTTTGCGTCGGTCTTTCATCAGTCCCATGGGACACCCCTGCCCATTATGAGACAGGAAGGCCTGGGTAAGGGAGATCCCCTGCCCTCCATCAATGCTAACCTCGTGAAGGAACACCTTGAGAAGCTGGATACCTTCTAGTCAGCCGGCCCCGACAGTTTACACCCCAAGGTACTCAAGGAGCTGGCGAGCATCATAGCTCAGCCCCTGTCACGGATCTTTGAGAAGTCCTGGTGCTCTGGTGAAGTGCCCGAAGATTGGAAGAATGCCAATGTGCCTGTCTTCAAGAAGGGGAGGAAAGTGAATCCAGCAAACTACAGGCCCATCAGCCTGACCTCTATCCAGGGGAAGGTCCTAGAAAAGATTATCAAAGAGACCATTCTCAACAGACTGGCATCCTGAGGGATAGCCAGCACAGGTTTGTTGCAGGTAGGTCTTGCTTGACCAATCTTATTTCCTTTTACGACCAGGTGACCTATCACCTGGACAAGGGAGAAGAGATTGATGTCATATATCGTGACTTTAAAAACGCCTTCGATCTGGTATCCCATGATCACCTCTTGGCAAAACTGGTCAACTGCGGCCTCAGCTTCTCCACGATCCACTGGCTGGGGAATTGGCTCTGTGGTCGGACCCAGAGGGTGGTGGTTGACGGAAGTTAATCGTCGTGGTGCCCTGTGACCAGTGGGGTCCCTCAAGGCTCTGTCCTTGGCCTATATTGTTCAACATCTTCATTAATGATGTGGACATTGGCGTCAGAAATGGACTGGCCAAGTTCGCCGACAACAAACTTTGGGGTAAAGCGTTCACAGGAGGACAGGGGGGTAATCCAGGTTGACCTCGACAGGCTCAAGAAATGGGCAGATGAGAACCTGATGGTGTTTAACACCAAAAAATGCAAGGTTCTCCACCTTGGGAGGAAAAACCCGCAGCATGCTTATAGGCTCGGCAGTGCTACACTGGCTAGCACTTTGGATGGAAGGGACTTGGGGGTCGGGATTGACCACAAGATGAACATGAGCCTTCAATGTGATGCTGCAGCCAGTAAAGCAACCAAAACACTGGCTTGCCTCCACAGATGCTTCTTGAGCAAATCCCAAGACGTCATTCTCCCGTTGTACTCAGCCCTGGTGAGGCCGCAGCTGGAGTAATGTGTCCAGTTTTGGGCTCCACAATTCAGAAAGGATGTGTTGAAGCTTGAGAGAGTCCAGAGGAGAGCCACTTGCATGATCAAGGGTCAGGAAAACAGACCTTATGATGAGAGGCTGAGAGCCATGGGACTCTTCAGCCTGGAAAAATGCAGGCTCAGGGGTGATCTGGTGGCCGCTTATAAGTTTATCCTGGTGAGCCTATAAGCGGTGCTCACCAGGATCTGGGGGAACATCTGTTCACCAGAGCGCCCCAAGGGATGACAAGACTGAACAGTCACAAACTCCTCCATGACCATTTCAGACTGGACATAAGGAAGAACTTCTTTACTGTCTGATTCCCAAGGTTTGGAATAGACTGCTGCTGGAGGTAGTTCAAGCACCTACCTTGAACGCCTTCAAGAGACATTTGGATGTCTGTCTTGCTGGGATCCTATGCCCCTGCTGACTTCCTGAGCTTTGGGCTGGGGGCTGGACTCGATGATCTTCTGAGGTCCCTTCCAGCCCTAATGTCTATGAAATATTTTAACTACATACTATGCTTCCATTGTGGTTGGTTGTTTGCATTAATCAAGTACAATGATGGTTCCATTTTATCCTTAACTGAGTGTGGACCATGCGGCAGCAGTGGTGATGCAGGGTCCTGCAAGGATAGTATAGGGTTTGGGGGTGGTGCAGTGGACAGCAGGAGTGTGAGGTCCGGTGGTGGTGAGCCTAACTTGCCACCAGCAGCCATGCCCACCAGGGCCAAAGAGCCCAACTTGTGTTACCCTCCAGCAGCACAGCAGGCTGGACAGAGAGGCTCCATGGACTGAATTGGCCCACAGGCCATATGTTTGACACCCCTGTTCTAGATGTTGAAATGGTCCCTTGTGAGCCTGATGCATTCCTTTTTGTGCATATTAACTTTTTTGAATGTGCCTTTCCATATCTTCCTTCATTTCCGGCTGCCAGCCTACGTTCCCAAGTTTTTTCCATCGCTTCCTTTAATTTGGAGTAACAATTGACCCATATACTCACTCTAATATAAGGAAGGTGTTGTACCTGTTGTGAGATTATTAAGACATCATTCACTATTCATTTGGGTAATAACAAATCCTTCTCCTGTTTTACTGGAACACCTTGCCACTGCAAAGAGCATTGTAAGATTGTACTTCAGGCCTACAGATTGAAAGCCTCTGTTCAGAGCATCCCTCCCTTTAAAAATACTTTTTCACTGTGATCTGAAAGAAAGCAAAAGCTATTTTGGGCTGACCAATGGCAGTGTATCTTAAAACACCAATCTCTGGTTTCTTTTTTTTTTTTTTGAATGCTGTAGTGAAGTCCTCCTTCAGATGGTTTGTGGATGATGAACTTCTCCAAAAGCATCATTTAATATGCCCGGGAGATTATATCATGGATAGAACACCTATTACCAGAGCACCTAAAGGTAACTTTTGAAGCAGCGAGTAGTATACTTCCTGTTTGTTTGTATAATTACTCACTGTAGACAGTCGAGTTCCTTTGATCAGCTTCAGTCGTCCCGTGGTCAGTTTCATCGGTTCTTTTCCACTAGCACGGCACCTCGGCATTTACATGGTTAACAGAGCAAAGAAGTAGTTAAATTAAAATAACATCTGTTTCCAATGACATAAAAAGCTGTTTTGATTGATTTCCATTTGTTTATTTTAGAGGTATTCCAAAATGTTCCTGTGCAGTGTTTTTCCATCTGAAAAGGCTGATTAGACAAAATCTATATGATCTGTGGGAACGTACCGATTTTGTTGGAATTTACCACAGGATGTTAACAAAGCATTTCATTTCAACAATGACAGGGGTTGTTTTTTTTACCATCTTTCTACAGCAGTGATTCTCAACCAAGGTGCCGTGGCACCCTGGGATGTCATGAGATCCTTTCAAGGCCTCTGTCGGGTGCCACACAGTGTTGGCACTATTAGGTGTGCCAACATGATTCACAAGATAAACACAGGGAATTCACAGTGTTAGACATATTCTGACCTGTTTGGCCCTTCTGAGGTCTTTGCAACAGACAAATTGCTCTCTTTCTTTCCTGTAGTCAAACAATGAGTGAAAACTAAGCTGGCATTTTCCAAAGGAATGAGGGACACGTTGAGTCTAAAAAAGATGAGAACCACTGCTCTACAGGCAAAATGCAATGTTTGTTTTGTTTTCACTTGATGGGAACAGTTCATTCTAATAATTTAGAAGTCATATCGTGAAATATTACAAGATTGCTACATTTTTTGTCCCAAATTAAAAGTAAAAATCTCAGAATTTCCTTCAGGAGAACAATTTAATTTTTCAGCAAGAGGAATATAGGTCTGGAAGGGACCTCTTGGTTTTGGTTAATCGAGTCCAGCCCCCTGCTATCCCTGGTCTATAATACCTTTCAGAAAGTGATTAATGTTCAACTTAGAAGCCAAACTCTATTTTTCTATTTGGCAAGATGGAGATGATTGTTTGCCTAGCTGAAAGGGGAATTACAAGTCTTAAGTAAGTAACACTTTTTAAAGTATTCGATATCTTCAAATGCAAAGTGCTGCAGAAGCTGAAAACGTTATTATTTTGCTCATTATAATGTCCCTGTCCTATAGACTGTCAGTACAAAACAAACTATAAATATTCATGACATTCAAGAACACTTACCATACATAGCTTCTTGCTAATAACAAGACTAATTTGCTATTATTCATAGTGTTTCTGTGCTGGTAGTAAGTTCTTACAAATAATAATTTTCTCCTTATACAGAAAATGTCAATAATTTTCTTTGCAATGCAGGAAAATCAGAGCCTGACTACATCAAGGAGACATTTAGTTTTAAACAGCTTACGTCCAGAAACCTAAGGGATAAGAAAGACAAAGAAATCCCGCACCTTAGAAAAACACCAGGCAGTCTACCAGAAGTATCTTTATCCACCCTGACCCTGTCTTCAACTCCTGAGACTAATCATCAGACAAAGAAATCCTCAAGTAAGGTATGTTTCTTGGATCTCTTGAGTGCATTTTAATAACCCTTGCAGCGGTGGCACACTGAGAGCCTTCATCTTCCTGCTTTACCTATGGCAGGTAAGGGTGCTCTTCGTATTTGGGAGCAGTTTGCTTTGTAGTTTTGTGACAAGGTTGATAGTGTAGTGTTAAGAATAAATAAGACAAGCACTTATATGGGACGGTTTGTATAGGGGTGATCTTGCCTCAAGCAAGAGGATAGACCAGATGACTTCTGTAGATCCCTTCTAGCCCTACTCTTATGTGTTTCTTTGTTTAATTGATTTACTATTTTTATTTTGTAAGCAGTTTAGGACATTGCTATTTCTATAGAAAAAACTGCCTTAAGTGCCTTGCTGATTTGATGTCAGTAGTTGCTTTCCTAGCTCCAAAATGAAGAGAGAAATAATCATCCTGAGGATGAAAATTTTGAGTGTTGCATAGTGTTTAAATAATGGGTATATATCTATTTGTTCTTTTGTTGTTATGAATAAACGCCACCAAACTAGTCAGTTTGACACTAAATTTTTCATCACCTTCTTTGTATTTTTCAAAGAAATCTGGCTCCTCAAAGAAGTCAGCCTGGAAAAACACCATGTGCAAAGCAGATAGAGAACAAGAACGTGCCTACCTTGCTAGACTTGAGAACCGACACAATTACCTGAAGAATCCCCGCTTTTTCCCACCAAATACATCTCATGGAGGCAGATCTCTTATTTTTCCTCAAAAGAAGATAGAAAGAATGTTAGCAGGAAGGAGAGTGATATGTGATGAAAGGTACTTAGATACTCTTTCTCGACTCAAACCCTGATCCTACCAAGAGAGCTATTTGAGTTGATTTTGATTAACACCAGTTTAACCAACAGGAGGATTTGGCCCTATATATTTTGTTTATGGACTTTCAGAAAATGCAGAGTTTCTCTGATTTGCTTCTGTGATTTTCTTGCTAATGAATATCATTTGCCGATTTTTGGACATAGATAAATTACTTATACGCTTAGTGCTCACTGCATGTTTTTCAAGGTCTCCCTTATGGTTTTCTTGTAGTGATTCCCAGGCTGTTCCTGTCTTTCTCGCTAACCCACCTACTGTTTTGTTTTCCAATTATGAAGTTGGTAAGGTTTATGAGGTGAGAGTTTATTTTTCTACAAAAAAATTATTCTGCCTCTGAGAAACTTTACATTTCCTTATGACCGACATGTTTCTCCCACTTCTGTGAATCCTTCAGTATACCTAACAGAACACATGTGAGCCCCATTTAACCCTGTATTCAGTTATCATCACAGTCTGTCTCAGGACAGCTCCTTATTAAAGTCAGTTACTGTCCAGCCAAGGAGGTTCAAATTTGAACCCCTTTTGGGACCAGTGGGCCCCTGTTGTTTTTTTTGGTGAAATACATTTTGTTCCAGAAAGGAACAGCATCCAGTGGGCGCATCTACACATTTATTAATGTGCCTTTGCTATTGCGCATTAAGTTTAGTACCTCTAATATGAGGTGCTAGATAAAGGTACAGTAGCTGTGCTAATGTGCAGTAGCAAAGGCAGATGGTTTTTTGTAATGTTTAATGTGCAGTAGACTAATGCTACTGAACTTTAGCCCATTAGCACAGTTTTTGCTGTGACACGCTAATGCGCAGTAAAACAGTCCACTGTGCATTAAGGCATCTTGTGTAGACATGCCCACTGTCCTCAAATCCAAAATACCTGCTTACCACAACCAGTATATGCAAACTGCTGTGAGAATGAGAGATGCCTTGTAATTGTTGTTTGGTATTTTATTTTCTTTTAAAATGAAGATGACCATAGAGCTCCAGAACACGACAGCAGTATCTCGCCATGTAAGAGTCATCCCTCCTTCTACTCCAGCCTTTGCCATTGGGCTGGGTAAGTTTGTCTGCTAGGTTTGAAGCTGCAAAATTGTCTGGGATCTGTTTTGTCTACTTAAAATGTGATTGTAAGAGGTGGCTTTTTAAGCTTCCCATCAGCAATAAGATCCAAGTGGGCAGAACCTTAATCTTACACAGAGTCTGTCCATTCCATATAGACATTAGTGATTGCCTAAGCTTTCTAGGGCTGTCTTCATGAAACTCCTAAACTGACTCACATGTAGTGAGTAAAGACGTAGGGAGTCTCATTACAATTTAAATGGATTGAGATCAGATTGAAACCCAAGCAAATCTGTGCATAATATATCATGACTGAGGCTTTTAGAGACTCATTTAGGATCTATTCAGTGCCCATTGAAATTGTTGGAAATTGTTCCTGGGAAAATGTGTTGCAGGCAAAGGAAGCCTCCTACTGACTTTAGTGGGAGGAATATATGGGTAACAATTCAAGGTCAGGCTCTTGTAAACTCATTCTACTGGTAGCAAGTTGTCTGCGATGGAAAACATTAAGAGCTCACTCTCATTACCTTCCCAAGGGCAGTATATATTCATAAATGCATAGCACAGCTTTTAAAATTTTAATTTTTCAATCTCCTGTATTTTCTTTCTTAGGAAAATTTCCAGGAGAGGGAGGAATTGTTGCTCCTGGGATGACCTGTCAGTATACAATCCAGTTTATTCCTGAATACCTTGCAGATTATGAAGACTATATACTAGTGGAGACCCAAGCATCATATCCTCTCCTGATCCCTATAGAAGCTAGGAGACCACCTCCTATATTAACATGTTGGTAGAATCTTATCAGACATTATGAGGCCTCAGCAGAGTTTTTTAACCTTTATGGTCTTGACTTTTTAAAGGGGTTCCCTGCAATAATGGTAGAGAAATTTTACAAGTTATTAAACCTTAAAATGCTATAAAAATATAATGCTGTAAAATATTCCTTAAGTTTTGCTGTTACCATATTGTATTTCCAGTTATCTTCATGGGACAGAGTACCAGACCTAAAACTCAGAAGCCCGTGTTCAAACGGAGTTACTGTATTTTCTTACATATAACATACACATTTCCCCTCGAAAAAACAGCTGCTGGAACTTTCAGTGTGCATTATGTGGAAGAAATAGGGTAAGAACAGGTTCTGCCCAGAAAGGCAAAAGTAGAGTAAAATCTGCATGCGGTTCACAGGGAGCAGAACACTGTGTAGGCTCGGCTACCTAGCTGCTGCTACTCAGTTAATTACTACATTCGTTCTGCCTTTCAAAATCAAGGTGTGTATTATATTCCAGCCATGCTGTATGCAAGAGAATATGGTACTTTGTTTCCACCTCTGTCAGTGCTGGAACTATTAAATATCTGTAAAACTTTTCTGTCGAATATCCAGCGCAGCCTGTGCCCTCTAAAACTGTAGGGTCACATTTTCAGATGGCATTCATCTGCATTGGGCGCTACCAGCAGAATCTATGAATCTGTAGCTCCAATGACTCTAATGGGATAATGCCTATTTGCATCAGCTGCAGAACTTTAATGCTAACAAGCAATAATATAAAACTCCTGTAGAGCTCAACTCTTTTCAACAAATGCATTTGTTATTGTCAGCATTTGATACAGTCCTTAAATACTTGGATCTGGAAGCCTCATTTAATTTGGGAAGACTACAGCAAGTTATAGGTCAAACTGTTTCACTATCAAACTAAGCATCTAAAGGGTTGAACTCTAATTTTTCACGGCGCTATCCTACCTTGGCTTTTGCTTCTCTTTTGAATGTTAATAATTTGTGTTGTTCATATTCAATAATGTCCCTGTTTGAAGAGTAACACATGAAATAGTCGTTTTAAAGCCATTAGCTTTCACTGCATTTTTGATTTGCTGTGTTGTTTGTTGTAGTACCTCACACCATAGATTGTGGTTCCTGCCTTGTCGGGGGAGTGAAAATAACAGACTTTGTGTGCAGAAATGAAGGGCTCAGCACTGGGAAGTTCTGTATAATGCCCAAGAGTGCATGGCCACCTCCTAATTTCAGAGTAAGTGTTGGGAAAGAACTGTCAGACCTAATCTTGATATTGCAACATGCAAAGAAGTTGTGAGCCAGTGACAGTACATCAGCAGGACTGGCCTAAGGCCATGTGGCTACACCACGGTGTTGGGAGTTCCTGACAGGCTTTTTTCCAAGTACGGCCTGCTCAAACACTCCAAACCCAGAAACACGCCAGTGATTCTGCTTCTCAGTTGCTCTAAAGACCTCAGTCCTAGAAAGACCAGAGGGGAAGACATCAGATTGGCCTCACCTACATATTTGTGGGTTTGGAGGCTACCAGCAGAAACAGGTGAGATGAGGTTGGGAACAGCCTGGAAGGGATATGTTGCTCCTGCAATGGGGACCTCTGCAGACCTCAAAACAGAGGCATTTGTATGTGCCACAGTGATGAAAGCAGTGCCCCTCCTGCCTCCCTCCTGAGGACAGTTACAAAGCAGGAGTGATTTTCTGCTGACTCAGCAATGCTATTTTATTTTGGGGAATTATTAAAAAGAAGAATTATTAGGCAGGGGGAAATGATGAGGCTTATACAGCATGCCATCTGTTTTAAGTAGCAAGCTATAAAAATAATCTGATCAATTTTGTTTTATTTTGTGTACATCTAGGCTGTTGCCACTGTCGGTTTTGTGGAGCAAGCTCCATTTGGAATCCACCCTCCTATTTTTGAGCTGTGGCCAGGTGAAGCTACGCTGCTAGAGGTTAGTGTCTAGCACATATTTGGGAAAGCCCAAAATACATAAGCAAGCTAGATGGGTTTTTCTAAAACGGCCTGTGGCTTGATCCTGTAAACCTTTACTTGTATGAATGAAGGCAATAGGATGGCTCACATGAGTGAGCATTAGCAGAATGAAGCTGATTTATCTCAGTTAATACACAGGTGGTGAAGCTAATGATATAGCTGTCTGCCTCAGAGTTTTACGAAGCCACCATAATGTCAGATTGTGCCTTTTAAGGGCAACCCTAAAATAAAGTGGTGACTAGCTGTCTTGGCATGGGAGGAGCAATATGCTCCTAAGGACCTACAGTGCTACCTGGTGTATAGGATCAAAGCTTTAATAAACCAACCTGGAAGGCTGTGATGTAGCCTTCCCTCCACTGTGACCACTGCTGAGAAGGATGAGCCAGGGCTATCATTTCATTCCTCGCCTTAGGAGTGATTTATATTCCAGGGATGCCTGCTAATGAGTATTGCTGGAGAGCACAGGGGTTTAGGCACTGCTGAGGTCCTCAGCTTATCTCTGTATTAGTTCAACTGTTATGTAATATATATGGTGCCTGCATTTCCAACTGTATAATCCTTTAGGTGTCTCAAATCTTGTTGTTGGACCTGAACATAGCTATCCAAGTTTTGGTGGTAACTGAACCCTAATGGGATTCACATGTGAGGCACTAACCATCTTTCTGTCCTGAAGAGTTCTGTCTGGCAGGCGTTGTCGGAGCACACCTACCACTTGGAACACAGGGAAGAGTAAGAGGTGGTGGCATTCTGCATGGTATCCACACTTTTAGGTCACAGACATCTGTAACCCGAGAGTCACAGCGTGTAGTATCTTTAGTGCTTATTTAATACTTGATTCCAGCCTCACTTTCATTGTTGTAACTCTTTTGCCTTAGTGGAGTTACTCCTTATTCACCACAAAGTAGATGACGGCAGAATCTGATCTCCAGGTTTGATTTATTAAATATGAAAAGTTTTATGATGCGTTGCTAGAGATGTTTTAGAAAGGACTACATTGGGTAAAAGTGTAAGGATTGTTAAGGCATTCATTATGGGCAATGCTCCTTCATCTTCTCTTCTCTTTTAGGTAGCATTTTTTCCTTCTTCTCCTGGAAATATGGAGCAAGTATATACCATTGTTTGCGACAACTGCCAGGTCAATGACATCACAGTTACAGGTTGTTTTTAATGTGTTTTCTGATACTGCACAAAGCTGAAATGAATAATACACAGTAGCTCAAGATGATTTAAACTTCAGGTTAATGGATTAAGCACTGATTGCAGAGCACTTTGAACATGGCTGACTGGTGCCTCCTGAGTCCCCCCGTGACCGATTGTGCTGACCGGGGCAGGGATGGGGGGGGCACGGCCAATCGCAGGCCATCCGGAAGTGCTAGCAGTGCTTCTCCTGGCACCCCCCACTCCCCGGCTGGTGCTTGCAGGGGGGCACCGGTGCTCCCGCCTGCCCCCCCTGCCCGTCCCCTAAGTGGGGAGCACTCACTGTGCACCAGCGCTCTCAGGGGGTGCATGTGCAACCTCAGTTCACTCCCCTACATGTTGCCACTGACTTTGAAGATGTTAAATTTAAATCTTTTTTTATTATTGCACTACCCTGCATTTGGAATCCCAGTTGTGCTGGAGCACTAGCTCTTCACCTTCTGAAGCCAAATGTGTGGTGCTGGGTTTTAAAGTATTTGAGAAAGGACTTTACAATTGGAAACATCACTAAATAGCAAGGAGAAAGCTTGAAATTCTTTGTGTATTACATGTGTTATGTATTCCTTTAGCCTCTAAAGTTATGTTATATTTTCAGAGTCAAGACTTGGCATTCATGATGTCAGTAATAAACTACAAGACACCAACTTATGTGGGGCAAAAGTACACTTGGGTGTGGGACAAGTGTGGCACAGCTAGTACTATGTAGATATGTTGGAAAGAAAGGGTGCAGCTGCTATTAAGGTGACATGATAACTTCAGCACAGTTTGCGCCAGAGTCAGCTGTTCCCAGGCATGGCATCTGCGGCGGAGGAGCTGGCTGGGGCATGAGAGTGCTAAAGTGCGGAGCTATGTGACAGGCAGCCCCCCGCGCTTTAGGACCCTTGTGCCCCAGCCAGCCCTGATCACCGTCGACACATGCATTGTGGCACAGTAAATGACTCTGCCGTAAGATAGTACTGTCTCCCCCAACAGTAGTATCTTACAGCGGAGTTAATTAATTTACTGCACTCTAATACCAGCACACATGTAGACAGTGATGCTTTACTGTGGAGCTAATTAGTCAACTGCAGTAAAGCACACATGTAGATGCACCCAGGGGTACTCATATTAAGTTCACTAAGCATATTGAACGTTTTGATTTTTAACTCAGGCTCTTCCTTTGAAGGGCTTGTGAATGCTTTAGAAAGGGTGTATTGTTGGCCTTCTTGGACAGAATTGCAAGGGTTAAGGCAGAAAAACCTTCTGAAGAGATGATATGTAAAATAAATTGCTTAAAAGCTGGCTGCAATCTGCATAGCAGGGCCAACTATTAGACTTAATCAGCAAGGCCTGGTATATGGCTGGGAAAAATTAGCGGGGCTTGGAGTAGTGATAAGCCCTGTCAGCCTAGTTCCTCAGTTCTGGACAGGATAACAGAAATATAACAACTAAGTTAATGTTACTTGTGCGGGCCGGGAGCGACCCGAGCCCTTTTCCGCGCTGCACGCGGGCTGTGGCCAGCAGCCCGGGCACGCCGAGTCGGAGAGGGAAGGCCGTCGAGCTGGAATTAGGCACAGACGCGTAGCGGTAGTTTTAAAGATTGTTTACTTACACCGAGATGGCAGATGGCAGATATGATGCTGTGTCGCTAGGTGGAGCCGCCGACGATTACGCTGCGTCGGTGGGTGGGGTTACCCTCGCAGGTTCCCCCAAAGCTCTGCCCTTCTCTTCCGGCCTCTCCACGCGGCTCTCCTTCGGCTCGGCGCCATCTTGGGCTGGCGTTCCGAGATCCTTTTTCTTAGCCGCTTCTTCGACCGCCCGAACGGCCACATGCAGCTGTGCCTTCAAACTT